TACAGATGTATCAAATCAACCGTCGCAAATCCCACCTGTAGTTTACAGTGAGTTAATTCTCAGCCCGTGTGTATTTCTAGTGAACATTTTTAAGGTTTTCCTTCTCTCGCATTTCACTTTTTCCTCACAGTCGTGTCGACAGTCTCTACTCAACTTCTTCTTTTTCTTCTTCTCTCTCTTTATTTTTTACAGCCATTTACTTCCTCCCTTCCTGCTCCTCTTTCTCAGCCTCCCCTTTTGCCCCATACTGTCAGGCTCCTTCATACAGCAGTAATTACATGTGGCTAGTGTCAGGGGCTGTCAAAATACGAAAGCCACCCATACGAGGCCGAACGAAGGGAAGGAAGGAAGACAGGCTGGAGAGGACAGAGAGGCTTTGGATCAGGAAGGCAGTGAAGGAAAGAGGAGGAGCACTTTTTTACTATCTCACTCGTACGCAGGGAGGGTAGCTTCTAATTGGGCTGAGATGGCAGGAGGTACTGGCTTGCAAACACTGCAGATCTGGACACTGGCCACAGGTTTGAAGAGGCTGACAACATGTTGGTGTGTGCTGTTTTTTGGAATGGATTTTAAAGATGATTAGATAGAAGTTTAAAAGTCCCAAACTGAAGTCCATGTTGAATCCTGTATTTGCTCTCCTTCAGCTACTCCTGTGTACAAATACAGAGTATCAGTGAGTGTTGGCTTCAGCAGCACTGGAGCAACAACAAAGTCATCAGAGGCAGTGGTGTCCAAGGGCAAAGGGCCACAGAGCCATTACTCATTANCCACCACCACAACCACACACTCCCCCAACCTCCACCCTCACTCCACTCTCATTTATTTGGGTTCTATTTTCTGTCCCGAGTCTCCATTACACCGGCAGACACAGAGAAAAAAAGTTTTTCTGGCTAAAACTTGCTTCAATGAGAGGCTCTGAGAAAGGCCAAACAAAACAGACCTGTGTGTGTTTTTTTCTTTTTGTCTCTGAGAGATTTCGAGGACCCTCTGATTGAGGTAAAAAGCCGCAATTTGGAGACATCAGATTGGATTGTGTTTGCACTGAGAGCCTCCACCAGACAACAACACAGAAACGACAGCTCCTGGTTTTTCTTTTTCTTTGTCTTAAAAACCAACACGTGTCGATGTGGTTGGACATAATATATGGGCTGATTATTGTCATGATGACTGGACCATATTTCTCCTGGTTGATGAGGCAAAAAGACATTTAAATAACACTTATTCAGACAACTACCATTTACTGGAATAAATGCAACCTTTCTATGTGATATCATCTAGCCTGGAACCGAACGTCCTTATTTATGGCCACCTCGAAACAGTAGAGGTTACCAATTTCTCATTTTCAAATTGCTCTTATAAGTTGATAATTATCTTGTGGCTTCCAGCATAATGATCACAATTTTTATTGCATATTTTATGACATTTGAGTTTAATTAATTACAGAAAGATTAAGGCATACAAACAAAAGACGCAAAGGTTATTGTTTCAAATATTGCTAAAAATAAATTGATTAATTGCAGTTAATGTTAACCTAACCCTCAAATAAATCTGATTTTTTTCTCCCCTGTCTTTGAACAAATAAACAGGCAGTGTTATTGTTATTTATTAATATAATCATTTAAATGGGAAGTTTATTATGACTTTTTTTTTTAAAAGAAAGCAGCTGAAAATCAACTGAAACTTAAATATTTATTTTATCAATCACAGCTGACAACTTGGTTGCAGAGTTTCTGCTCTTAAACAAAAACCTCATTGACTTCTGGTGGGTGTTTTATCATCACTCCGACCAAGAGGCAGTTAAAATCTCTAGTTTCTTTTTCTTCATTCCATTGTCTTGGATGATTCTGAAAATAGACCAAAGGGGAGGGGTGAGAGAGAAATCATAATAATGTCTCAGTATGGCCATTACATTTTATTTTACAATGCTGAGCAGAAAGACGATGGGTGGATAATGTCGTATGGGACATTAAAGTTTCTCAGTAGCAGAGCAGCGGCATGATGGGAGAGTTCCGCTCCTACAGTACCAGACTTTATACGGCCTACTTTATATTATTTCCCTGTGATGCCTCCTTCAGTTTCCTCCACATTGATATAAAGAATCATCAGGAATTGGAGCATATGTCCACCTGGACACGTCCCCCTGCTGGACAGATGCTGTAAATCACAGTGTGTCTACATCTCAACATCCTATAATTTATCTTAGAAAGGAAGTACAGTTCCCAGGCTGCATTAAGAAGTCTGTATTGTATTGTATTCAGTGTCCACGGCTGACGTACCTATACTCAGTATTCGTGCAGGTACTGCAGATAGAAGCTACTGTTGAAGCAGATTTTCACTTGGGATTGAAATTAGAAGTTCCTCAAAGGAGGTCTGTGAAGGTTCTCAGACATTCAGTTTGTCTTAAGATATTCAGAGAAAGACAGTTGGACTAGTCCATGGTTCTTGTGTGGGTTAACATTAAGCACACCCTCCTCTGACCTGTAGGTGGTGCTTTGTACGTTTTACTTTGAGATTCTTTCCGCAGGCATAAAGAGTATTCACAAAGAATCCTGCTAACACCCTTAGC